CCCCAAAACCCCAAAACCCCGCTAGAAGGTATATTAGGAATATTTCGGATAATGTCGATAATTATGAATTTATTCATTTTTATAATAAGAGTCAATCAAACTGAGAAAGATAATATAATCTTCAATATTACGGAAGAATATCCGACTAAAGATAATGTGCCAAAAAATACAATAAGACTGTACTTTTTACAAAGGCTTAGCTCTTCTTTGTTCAATTTTATGTAGCACATAGTTGGTAATACGTAACAAATAGTAACAGAGCATATTCCACCAACGATCGATAGGATACCTGTGATGTTAGGATAAATTATAGCTATTACTGAAGTTAGCATTACAAATGCCAATGACATTGATATATTCTATCCTTAAGTCATTTAATGTTTTCTTGAGTAGATAAGGTGAATCATAATTTGCTTAAGTGGAACCATGTTTATAGGAAACGCTATGCACAGCACAATAACAATCATAATTCTTCCAATCATAAGTGGGAAATCAATGAGTTGCCCAATTAGAGGCTCTCTATCAATAACAATTTGGTTTGTCTTCTCATAAGTTGAAAAATATCCAGCTAAGCCAATAGATAAAAAGAACAAAGTGTTTGTTCCTACACTACGATAAACAAGTTTCCTGACTTTTTATGGATTTTATTCATTCATTTCATCATATATAGGAATGAATTCAATATGACAAGAAAAAGCAAAAAATGCTATTGAGAAATTTGAAAATAAATCCCAATCTAGTTTGAAATAGTTCAGCTTCTCATATCTAAAATTTTGTGTAGCATATTAAGGTAATTCAAATAATAGTACGAACATAATATAAACTAATGATGCAATAGAGAGGATACTAATGTATCTAAATCCACTCATTTTTCTCATTGAACCCACTGGGAATAATATGAATACAGCAATAAAAGCCGCAATAGCTATTTTTACCTCCGAACTTTAAATTTTTTTTGGTTCAAATCCAACATTAGTCGCAAGAACTTATATCATTTAGGTTATAATAATCTAATAGGACACACTAGATCCAACCGTACCAAAGAATATAAGCCACACAATATGCTTGTCTACATTTCTAGCTATTACTTTTCTAATAAGATAAGTGTAACTTGGAGCACCTATTTACTCAGTGCATTTAGCTAGCATTAAAAGACTTATGATTGCAGCAATACATGCAATAATTATCATCAGTGATCCAAGTATAAATCCACTTTTAGCAATCACAAATGGAAGTGATAAAACACCTGAACCTATTGCTGCTGCACTAAGTTAAAACATACTTCCTCTAAGGGACCCTTTTCCTAATGGTCCAAAAGTTCTGTTTAAGAATGATCTTTATGAAATGAAAGATCTGTTTGAGATATTGCTAGATGGAGAGCTGTAATTTTTTCTATGGCCTCCTGCATCAACAATGAGAGCAGACTTCAATTCATTCTTAGTTTAATTTTTATCATGATGATACAACCCGTCAACATTCAAGTTATCTTGACTATTTTCTAAGGGTTAAGTTTGCAGGTTTTTAGTATAAGCCATATTTTCATCTGTTGGATTATTGCTTAAATCCTCAGTCTCAAAAAAAAAATTATCGTCCTTTAAGTCTTCTTGACTCTCTGTGCCATTATAAACATTTTAGTCCATTCTTGCCTCCATTTATTTTGTATCTTTTTTAATTTAAATTTACTATTTTTGAAAGCCTATTCACTTCACAAAATGTGTATATTTTGATGTTGGGGTTTTGGGGTTTTGGGG